TATTTGAATTTAAAAATGCTTTAAATTTAATTAAAATATACTATATATATTTTTTTTTTTCATAATATTTCATAACTTCATAACCAATATATATTTATTGTATTATTCATACATACATGTATTGTGCATAAATAAATATTAATTATTTAGGTAAAGTGTGTTTAACTGTCATGGAAATAATGTTGTAATGCAAATAATATTAAAGGTCATAAAAAAAGGCGTCATTTATTAAAACAGAATATCTTTTTTTTTTTTTGACTTTTGGGTAAAATATGACTTATTATAAGAGCGTAAAAGCCCCGGCTCTTTCTCTGGCCAGTTCATTACAGTAAACCAGAGGAACCAAAAACACTAATCAATCACATTTTCTTTAGAAAACTTGCAAAAAGTCTTGAGTGATTCAGTCTGAAATCTAATAGTGCATGTGTTTCCCAAATTAAAGCCTCAGGTGTACAAACAGCAGCTCATGATCAGTTTGATGAACAGACGCTGGGTCAGAGAGAGCCGAAAGGGCCGTTTGAAAGCCATCATCGCATCCCATAATTCCCAGCAGCTCAGAGGTAAAGCAGCTTCACCTTTTCCCCCCGCGCACACTTCCTCATAACGTCCCATTAAGAGCACAACACCGTCTCCGTTTTATTCCCTCATTTATCTTCATTTCTCCGCTTGCCCCTCTCTCTCTGCGCGGGAATTCATCCAATTACAATCAACTACCCTCGACGCTCCAAATCGCATTAGCGCGTCCGGCTGCCTGTGTAACAATTTAGCACGGCCGGCTCAAATCGGATTGCGAGCGCACTTCAAAAGCACGGGCCGATCCGTTAGGACAGGGCCGCGAGGCGCGGTGGCCACAGCCGGCATGAAATTTAATCTAGAATGCCATAGCTTTGGAGAGCAAGCTAGCAGGCCTGTCAACATCACCATGACAACCTGTGCCCGAGGACACCCGAGTCATGACCTAAACTCATGATGCTGGTGCGCTGTTTTATAGCCAGATTCTTAATGGACTTAATATATCCAATGTTTCTTCACGGACACCTGAAGGGCCCCGGGCTCTGATAAAGGTCTCAGATGCTCTTTAATGAACGATTCGTGTGTTGTTGGGTGTCATGATGCCAACATCTCAGAAGATCATACTGATACCAGAGAAACTGCGGGATTCTCCATACCGGAGCAAAAACTAATACAAAATGTGTTCCCAAGGCCAGTTAATGCAATGGAATAAAATATCTGCAATGACATAAAAAGGATAAAACAACAATAAATAACACTTATTGAATATATCCTATATAAAAAGTTGAAATATACATGATGTAAACAATTATATTTAATTAAATATGTTATTTTAGAATTAAATTTATATAAAACATACAAATAACATAAAAAATATTATATTCAATATATATTTATATTAATATAAATATAATATAGATAGACAGAAAAATGAAAAAATTTAATATTCACAAAATAATTATTAATATATTAATAATGAAATAAATAATATACAGTTTATAAAATGTATATTAATTTTAACATTAATCGTTCTATATTAAATTATATATATATATATATTTTATGTATAGAATATGCTATTGAACACACTTCCTTATTTAAAAATTAAACATAATATTATACACACACACACATACAGTATATATAATATAGAAATATATTATAAGATATTATACTATGTGTTTTTAATAAATTAGAATAATATAATAATATAAATATATTACAAATGTTTACATATTATATATATATATATATATATTATAATATAAAATTACACACACACAGACACACACACACACACACACACATATATATAATGAATAATAAAATTTTCTATACATGTTTTATAATCTATTTGATATATAAAATATGCTATTGAACACAGTCCCTTATTTAAAAATAAAATATTCAATTAAATGAAAACAAAGCTCCATTAAGTAAACAGTACTGCTTAAGTGAATATGTTCTTTAGGATAGTCTACACCAAAACACCCAAACAACGAGTACAGACAGAGCCACTGTAATCTCACAGAGAGGCAAGGATTAAGCACTTGAACAATACTTAAGTGTCTCTCAGGAGGCTGCGGCTCTGTAAATAGCGGGCTGTGGTTTGGAGGGAGGGACAGGACGAGGGACAGGTGCCCGAGCTCAGATTTCTGGACTGAAAGAGCAGAGCCTGGCACTCAGACCTCCAACATCCCACACTCAAACCCTTCCCGAGGGCCACCGCACTCACTGTCCAGCAATACAGATTTACAACAGCCAATAAACACATGCATTTTCATTTGCTGTTCATTCTTATTTAAAACTTCAAATGTCTTATTTAAGAAATAAGATACGGGACCTTGTGAATATCGTACATGGAAACAACTACTGTTACAAGCCACTGTAACAAATAATTGGGAGATTTAAAAAAATAAAAAAAATAAAAATAATAATAATAATAATAATAATAATAATAATAA